ATTAAGCAATATCACTAATGGTAAGTGGCAATATTATATGGGTGCGCATTTGTGTGAATGCCTGTTGCACTCAACACTCAACGGCTAAACGGCCATACAGTTTTCTCTTACTCGATATCGGTAATGCGATATTGTAATTTGCCATCTGGGAACGCCAAATAATTGTCTTCGTGTGTGGCAATACACAAAGTGCGAAAAATACCAAAGACATAAATAAAGCTAAATAGGGGATCTTGCAATACATTTTGGATTATTGAATGGTCGTTGATCGAGCGTTGCCACCTAGCACACAATTTGCTTTAGTTTGTGAATTGCAAAAGCTGTACGCGAAACAGTATTTTCGATTTTCGAAGTTAAACTCTACATCCTAGCTTGTCTTGGCCTGTCTTTTCAAATGTCACGCTGCATGACTGTGCATCTACATAAATCACTTGGACTTGATTGGAGCAGTACTATAGAGTTTGTGTGAATCAAATAATTACATTTCTAAACTTCATCGCCGGTTATTGTGTTTGAAATGGATTGGTTTCTTTTCACCTCTTATTTGATATGGTTTTTAGCCGCTTTTCAAAATCCGTTTATGGAAATTTGGGAGCGACTGGAAGAAGCTCGAGGTTTTCTCCGAATCGGCTATATGGCAGAACCGTCTAGCAATAATTACCGAATGAATGACTCGAATTTTATCTATAGTCGGCCAATACAAATGATTGACGAGCCTTTTGCAGATGCTTTTATCGGAAGCAACTATGGCGGCATTGGTGTGGATGAGGCTGGATTCGATGGGCAACAAAGTGACGGGGAACGGACCGGCGAGAACAACAACTACAATCTGCCACTCTTCTGGGTGAAATTGACCAAAACAATAAAAATGGTTGCCTACGATAATCCCAAGGCAATATATCTTCGATACGAGGCGGACTTTAATGGAAGAACGCTTGTCACCTGGATCAATATTGTTATCGTAAGTCAATTGCTGTGGCTGTTCTATGCGCTGATCGCAATCATCGGTGTCATTCATGTTACCATGTATATGAGTTGTGGCCTTTTGAAATATTTAGCCAATCTAATTCTGAAGAAAATAGAAATGTCAGGTCTCCCCAAAAAACTAGAAATGTGGATTTTCGTCAAAAAACATGAATTGTGGGCACTCCTTAACAAACTAGAAATGCTATTCCGAAGCAAACTGGAAAAGTTGAGCTTTCAACGAATTCGCCAACTGTTTTCAAAGAAGAAGAATGATAAGGACGTCCCACCAGTTGTGCTACCAGTACTGCTTCCCCTTGAACGCTATGTGGAATGTTGTGTTGAGTCGGGTCTAGAGTCGGATGTTGAGTCCAATGCCGAGTCGATTATCCAATCAGCTAAGGAGAATTCCGCAAGTCACCGCTGTGCCAGAACTATGAATATCAATGCTAGATATAATCCGATTTCGAAAAGGTCTAAAAAACTCAACAAGCAAGATAAATTTATTCAATGGATCAAACAGGCTCCATTCCTGAATGGAACGTCCGATTCCGAAATTCGACTATCCGACTCTGATGGCGACGAACACTTGAAGCTTATCTCCTTCAAAGAAAGCGACGAAAGTTTGCTGATACCAAGCGATGAGCAAAAAGCGAAATCGAAAAGAAATTTTACGGTCATCCATAATAATTCAAATCACACTTTGGCTAGTAAACTGATAATTGTCTCTAAGGACAACATGACAGACACTGAGACACCTTTTAAAACAAAAATGTATATAAACGCCAAGAAAATGTGCAAAATTCTGCAGAGCGCTAGGCCATGTGGCTGTCCGTATTATCGACTAATGGAACCGTACTCAGATACGTCTACAGACAATTACCAGAAGAAGGACCATAGCCATGAATGCGATGCTGCCAAAAATATCCCGGAAACTGGACAGGGCGATGGCGCTTGGATGCGTGAGGCTGCAAAACGAAATGAATCCTCAGAGGTTCTGGGAAACCAACATACCAACTCTTCGGGACGGCTTTTCAACAGACGTGCATCCAAAGATGCATGTGACAGCGATGTGCAGGAGAAATATTTCTCAACCGAGGACCTTTCTGACTGCACGGTTTTGTACAATAAGCAAAGTACGGCTAACAAGCAGAAACTGAACCGCAAGGATTGTCCACTGAAACCAAAAATATCATTGCCAATCGTTAATAACGAATTCAAGAATTCTCAAGACAAAGACTCTTTCAATATGGTAGGAGTTCTAAAAACATCGAAGAGCCCATCAACATTGAGTTTGCCAACTCGTTTGAAGGATATCATCCCACTTACGCGTAGTTTTGGAAGATCTATGATGCAAAAATCTTTTGTGGAAGATGAGCCAGAAGCCGTAATTGATAATCCGATCAGCATTTCGAAAACTAACGACGCCGACACTGATGTTTCTTCTGACGAAGGTGATATTTCGGAAACAAAAGCCCCTGATAGCACGGGATATAACGATTTGTTGCAAAAGCAATTTGCTGACGCTCTAAGGATTTCTGAAGAGTCTGAAACTTCGATGAACTCTTATAGTTTCAAGCAGGAGGACGGCCATTGGGTTGGCTGGTCCGTAAAGAATAATAGATCAAATAAATGCAAGAAGCTAATGAACGTGGACGTAGGCATGGAAAGCTCTAACGAATCGGAAGCCGACAAGCCGATGGAATCCACTTTTATTCAACAGCACGTCGAGACATTGAAGGACTCATTACAGGGCGGCTATCAACGTCCTGGCAAAAAAGTCGCCAAAGATATTAATTGGGTAAGTGGAGTAGTTTCAAAATAAGTCAATGCTTAAACTGTATCACATACATATGTAGCTCTGAATTACAAACTCACGAAATTGAATTTTGCTTTGCAGACTCCTAACAGCCAGAAGTAAGCAGTCAGGAATCCGGAGAGCAGACAAGTCTGAACTTCAGCTAAAACATAATCAAAATATTAAAACTTCATCCTCATCTTCATCTTAATTGAGTTTGGGGAGAGGTGTCACAATACTCTAATACTTTAACTATTATCTATATTAATTGGGTAAGTGGGGAGGTTTCACAATAATCTAATATTTAATTGTCTCGCATACATAATTCTATATGTCAAATTGACGAAATTTAATTTTGCTTTGCAGAGCTCTAATAATCAATCATATGTAAGAAGTCAGCAATCTGGAGAGCAAACAAGTCTGAACTTCACCTGAAAAATAATATATTAATCGATGGAACTCATCAAAATACTGAAACTTCATCCTCATCTTCATCTTAATTGAGTTTGGGGAGAGGTGCCACAATACTCTAATACTTTAACTATCATCTATATTAATTGGGTAAGTGGGGAGGTTTCACAATAATCTAATTCATTGTCTCGCATACATAATTCCATATAACAAACTCACGAAATTTAATTTTGCTTTGCAGAGCTCTATTAATCAATCAAATCTGGAGAGCAGACAGTGGTCGACGCTTTCAAAAATTTTGTGTTGCCCAAGTCTGGCTTCAGCTATCTATATCAATCAATGCAAATAATCAAAATAGCGAAACTTCATTCTCTTCTTCACTTTCATTGAATATGGGGAGAGGTTTCACAATAATCTAGTATTTTAATTTTATATGAATTGGTTATGTGGAGAGGCTTTCGAGTAAGTCCATACTTTGATTGTATAATATACATACATACTCACGAAATTTAATTTTGCCTTGCAGAGCTTTCACAAACATATGTGAGCAGTCAAGAATTTAAAGCAGCCTGTGGTTGACGATTTGAAAAGCTATGCGTCTGAGGTTCAGCTACTATATACTATACTATACTATACTATAATATACAGACTATACTATATATTGCTGACATCAATCAAACTCTGGGAATTGCATCGTCAACTCAACTGCGGAAACTCAACTCAGGAAATAATATTAATTGGACTTTACCAGAATTTCATCCACTATAATAAATTTACCATAACCCAGATTTTCATCATATATTAACGACCTTGAATTTAATCAACTCCCACTGTGTGTGCTTAACATTTCAACAAGATCGAATTTACTAACCATATATTCCCGACTGTGTCGAAACATCGAAGCCAATAACAAGTTTTTATTTTACATAAACATCATACCTAACATCACATTCCACTTGTATAATCGGATATACTACCGTAGATCTTTCTATATGTATATCTGTAACCTACTGTCAAACCTCATAACCAAATATACATATATCTATTATTTATGCATGTGTTGAATAGTTTGTGTCCTCACTCTACTTACCTTCATGCCAGAAGTCTTATATCCGCTATTTTCTTTTATGAATTTAGATCTCTTTAAGTTCACACGTATATTTTCCTATTAGGTAGAGCCAATCTACATAGCGTTTGCTAGATCAGGATCTGCTTGACAGTCGAACAATGGAGAGACGTATCCGGAATAATCTCAGACGAACAGTTTTCACATTCTGATATTTTAAGTGTCTGCTACGAGTCATCATAAGCAGTCGTCATATGAAACCTGATGCTGAGTCATGCGATAGTTGAGAGCTACAAGGCGTGAAGCTGAATCAGCCATTAACTTTCTCAGATCAATCGCTACGGAACCAGTTATTCCCATGTGTCTAGAATCTTAAAGTGTGATGGGTTAGTATATACAGCGGACAGGTAAGTAATGATAATTAGATATAGTTATACGATATATGTATATATTATATGATATATGATATACTGAACTAAAGCTTTCACACTATTTTCTATTGCTATAATTATACATATTTTGATTTTCAGAAACTCTCAACTTGCCTGTCTTACGAATCTGCGCGTCCACTGTGCTGTGACTGTCTTAAGTGCCCGGAATTACACGCATTACTTGAATTGCTGCATTGATAAGGGATCCGGGGAACGAATGGGCATATAAACATGGAAAGGAAAGGGGCCAAGTTGTCGACATTCACATTCGGTTCAGCTTCGGCTTCATATTTTAGAAATGTTTACACAACTCGAGCAGACACGTTTGTTTGTGCGAGGAATACGATCGCTTATAGATATCGAGTATAACTATATCGGAAGAGAGTGAGAGAGAGGGAGAGTGAGAGAGAGAGGAAGAGGAAGAGTGCCAGTGAGAGAGAGAGAGAGAGAGAGAGTGACAGAGCGAGAGTGTGAAAATATATGTGTGTACATATTTCCCTCTCTCTCTCTCTCTATCTTCCTATCTCTCTCTCCCTCACTCTCTCTCTGTGCTACCCTCTAGTTGCATGGAGTTCAAATAATTTCTGTGGGTTTCTGTTTCTATCTGATTAGCGGTCAGTTGGCTTTATATACATACTTATGCATATAGAGATATACATAAATGTGTGTGTGCCTGCATAAAAAGCATTTCACACATTCGAGTTATAGCAGCCGCGGAGACGAAGCCACGGGGCGTAGTCGGTCAATTTTCAATTGTTGCCAAAGAGTTTTTCCTCTGACTCAGTTGTTTTCTATAAAGTAGACACACTGACACGCAGACACACACACACACAAACACACGCTTACTTCTAGGGGCACACTCTTATTCTCACTCTCACTCTCGCTCTCACTCTCACTCTCATTCCCATAGCCCTACCTCCTACCTCCCCCCGCTCTCGTTTCGCCACTGGCCCATTCAATGCGCTCTACTCAATGAACCCAGAGGCCGGTGGCCTCTAATGTGCTCGCGCCCAGCCAACGCCCCTTAGCCAACACTCCCGCCAGTCCCTGCTCCTCCTCCTCCTCCTCCTCCTCCTCCAGCAGCGCCGAGACTATTTCTTTTTGTTTGCTTCATTAATTAATTAAGATGACGCTGGCAACGGCGTCGAGAAGAGACCATTATCTAATATACATATACATATGCACACATGTGTATGTGTATATATGGATATACATATATCTGTGCATGTATGTGTGTGTACGCAGTTTCCCAAAATCGAATCGAGTGGGTGCTCAAGGGAATTAGCCGAGGAGCAGTGGCTGGGGGTCATGCTTGGGGTGCAGTTAGCTAGAAAATTGGCCTAGTCAATCGTTGGATTTAGATATGTATTGTATATGTATATGTATATGTATATGTATATGTATATGTATATGTATATGTATATGTATATGTATATGTATATGTATATGTATATGTATATGTATATGTATATGTATATGTATATGTATATGTATATGTATATGTATATGTATATGTATATGTATATGTATATGCATATGTATATATATATATGTATATGTATATGTA